ACTCTGTAATAATTCTTTAGTATATTACTTGTGTGGTGTAGAAGAGAATTATCTATGTAGAGATACTGCTTGCAAACCAATGATGGTAAGATGATGTCATGGGGTAGGACTGGATAAGTCTGACTTCTTCCTACTCCACTTAAGCATGTACTAGGTATAAGCAAATTGATATTGGATTAGCATTTGTTGGATATGTGTAAAATTATGTGTGTTGACATATCAACTGTCTTTACATGCTTGAAAGAATAAATAAATCAAATCAAATAAATCAAAAGTCCATCTATATGTAACGCTAAATATTCATTCTCAGTAACTGTTTCAGCAGAATCTGTCACATCTTTTAACTTAATACAGTAAAGCTGCAATAATACTGCATGTTACTCAACCATATGTAATGAACAAGGTATTTAATTAGAATATTTCATTCTTTCCGATCTAGGATGTCTTATTTTTGTGGTGTAATTTTCATCTTTTCACATAATATATTCTAAGTGCATGAATCACCAATACTTACCAGTGTAAAATCTTAGTATTTGTTCATGTGAAATATCTTCTAAAGCTGGAGAAGACAAGACTGTTTTTCTAGACACTGTAGTGGGGCCAGACTTTCAGTGGTATGAGTAAAGATTTGCTTACTGGCTCCCTCTTAGGGCAGAATGTCGTAGTCTTGCATTTAAGGAAATGATGCCAAAGCGTTAGAAATATGCCGGGTTGAACAATCCAAATCTGGCCAAAGCCTGCTTATTAGTCTTATTAGATTATGCTCACCTCAGGACATTTGAATCTAATTCTGATCACAAAGTAGCAAGAGTGACAACACAAATCTTGTGTTTGAAGTAATTTTTGATTGCAAGATCAAGCTGAACTTTATTTTAATTGACGACTCTGGACATTATAAAAATAAATAGATGATTCACAGTCGGTAGATTGTAATACAAATTGTTATCAAAATTAAGTATCAGCCAGAATGAAGAATTAAACATGCATAATAACGGTTTCATCAACTTATACATGTTCCAAATACTCCTTTCATTACTTGCAATTGACAAAATCTGTCTCAAACTTATTGACAGAATATAAAAACATCATTCAAAGTAGACTGCTATGCAAGCTGAATATGCTCCTTTCTGACAGGTTCTCAGGGATGACTTGACCCAAGGTGTGTTCACTGGCCGTCTTCTTGATTCAGTCCATGTTTTTCAATGTAGCGTCTGGTAGAGAAAAACAAAACCAAGTCAGTCTTTACTTTATTTAAAAGTGTTTGTTTAATCTGTCAAGAACTTAACACAGAAATGCCTGGTAAAGATGGTGAATGTGACCCTGCATGCATCGCTTTTCGAACTGCCTGCAGATGCGTTGTAGCTATTATAAACGTGGTCCTGTCAGTGCCCTTCTGGGCCAAATTAAAATGAATTATAATGAAATTCCCTCCAACTATAAAACTAATCAGCCACATTTTAATAGGGGTTTTCGCCTACACTATACAGAACAACAAAAATTTTTTCCCCCTAAACAAGTAGTGTGTACAAGAAAGGCTTTAAGCTACCGTGTTTTGTTGATGGGATATATTGTTGTGATTATTTTAATCACTAAACTTCAACCATTTTGACAAAATTCAGTGTGATACTGTCATAAAAGTTATGGGAAATGTGCTAACATACACATCCAGCAGTTACACAACAACATTAACATTCAACTGGAGTTGTGTTTCAAGCAAACTGACAGTATCACACTGAATTTTGTCTTTTGTTCTGCTGTGTTGACTTTTATCCTTTTATAAAACTGGCCCCCATACGTCTTACAATGCTTTAGAAGTGCCATGCTCTTACGTTGAGACCTTCGCACTTCTGTGTGAATTGTTCTCTCACTGTTGTTTCAGAAAAACTCTGGATTTCAGAACAAATTTAAAATTAGTCAGATGTATTTCTATACAAGACTTTTGCCTAGTGGAGCTTTAACACCACACAGAATCGCTGTTGAATGACAAGCACTACTGCACAACTGTGAGATGTTGTGCATAATAAAGCAGCTTTGACTTTTCTTTGAGGCTTATTAACATGAACTGAACAGACAGGACAAGCACAGAAATATGTGATTAAAATATCTATTTAAAAGAGACTAACAGAAAACTTGATTCCACCATGAATTGCTGACCTTTCTGCTGCAATATTAACATAAATGCAGCTCCTCTTACAAATAATAAAATAGTCATTTTATGAGGGGACATTGCTAATGCATGAAAATATCACCTTCTTGCAAAATCATACAGTGCTTCTTTTCTCTCTTGGAGAGACAAATGTCTGTCAGCTGGTGATTTCCCAAAACATTTGGCAACAGGCTGTAGATGGAGAGAAAACACATTTTGAGCTTAGTGAAACACAGATGCACATATTGTAGGGGTGTGACAATACACTTAGGTCATGAGAAGAGAATATTTTAACACTATTTTTAAGAAATCTTCAACAATGAAATAAATGACTGGAAAAATAATTTTTATTCAACTAAAAGTCACAAAATGCTAAACAATGCTGGTGCATATTGAAATCTTTGTAAAAGGTTTTGCCACAAATTCAAGTGACTGACTTTTCTCCTGTAGGATTTCTCATGAGTCTCTTCAGACCTTATAACTGTGCATGAACTATGCATGAGCTTCTAACTGAAGCTGTGTGTGACCTTATAGCTCTTTTCACTCTCACTACACTGCCCTGGATGGTGACATCATCTGGCAAAGGCGCTGCATTGACCAATCACATACCGAGGATGATCAGGACATGGATGCCCATGGGAAGAAGACTCTTTTGTTTACCTTGTTAGCATGAGCATTCACTGCTATTCACTGTCGAATCTTGGCCACAATTAACACACCATAATGATACACCATGTATTTTCATTAGTACCGGATGTTAAATGGTGTTTTTTTATACATCAATGCCAACACACACCGGTGATAGAATTGGTGCTAAGGTAGAGTAGGTTATGTTAGCAGCATGGCTAACAAAAACACAATGGAAACTCAGGGGCTGGAAGCAAGGATGAAGCCATATGATCATATGGTACACGCCTACGACACCTCCCCTGCAAACCGTCATCCCCCGCCCAACATAGCCCCATGTGTGGAAACACAGCAGGGAGTTGTGTTTTTGCTGGACTAATGTGAACATACCGCTACACTCCGTCATACCAGCTGCTGCTCTGGTTCTGTTATGTACTGATAGAGCGAACCAGCTTTTGCCTCGACAAGAAATATCATCACATTTTAATACTGCAAGATCTCGTGGAATGAGATCTCGTCACACCCCTACCATATTGCATAACTTAAGTCAGTTTAAACTGTGACAACAAAGTACTGCTAAACTAAAATCTCCAACAAGTATTTTCTTCAATGCAAATTAGAAATCAAGTAATCCAAGGAATATGATCTTCATTGTTTAAAGACAGTGGATCCTAAGTGATAAACTCCCCGTTTCACAGCTCAGGCACAACAGCATGTAGAATCACAGAGACAAACCTTAATAGTGAAGGCAGAACCAGAAGAGTAAGCACTGATCTTAGATGGCCCAAATGTAGACGGCCCTGATGCTTCCACAGTAGTTTCCTCCTTATTCTCAAGCAGATTTGTTATGGTGGTGTCAACGCAATTGGTTTTTGCTGTACACAATGAAGAGACAGCTTTAAGTTCAAATTTGACTGTCATGTGTTACAAATTAAGAGGGAATAAACTGTTGCAGGAAGACTGGATAGTGTAGCGACAGTTTGGTAGAGCATAGTAGATGTATGTAATGGGAAAGCAGCATGACAGTACATTACAAAGGGGTGGCAGGGATGTGAGGTCAAATGTAAATGTGCCCCACCTAGGTCCTTTGTGATAACATTCAGTGGGATATGAGGCAGCACATCCTTCACTTGCTGAGCCATCTTGGCAATCCTATGATCATCTGCGCCCAAACTCTGGACCATGAACCCGAGCCCCATAGAGCCAGGCCTGACACCTAGGGGTCAGGACAGCCACAGCTGACATCATCTGAATCCTTGCACGTAGAGAATCAGATGTATTGTGGGTTTATGTCATTTACTCACTTGCAGACATTTGTGGTACAGTGTGTCTTTTCCTTTTCATGTGCTCTGCTTTATCAGCTTTAGTAATCTTTGTAGAGACCAAGCCAAGTTCACTTGCTAGTAGCTAGAACACAACAAACAAAGGATACAATGTTAGTGTATATCTGCAAAACAAAAGTAGAAAACAGGAGGCAGTTATGATACTGATGGGCACAGTAAAGGGGGAGATCATAAATTTTATGATGCTGTGCTTTTAGGAAACAAACCTTTTGTAGTTTACTAAAGAGGGATCTGGATGATTATTGCTGGAGTGAGGGAACTGTATAAACTGCATTTTTATATAAACAGATTTTTCCTCATATTTGTTTTTAACCTTATAGAATCTAGCCATTTATGCATCTACTCAACCAACAAACAAGGGGGGGGGGCATGGTTTACCTTCTGGACTTTGTTGGCAAACTCCTGCGCTGACTCTCCATCTTGTCTGGACATTGGTGGGAGCCAACTGGGACAGAAAAGTAAAACCAAAATATTAAAATGTTAAGTAAGGATTCTACAACAACTGTGGCAACAGAAATGCTCAAAATCAACAGAAGACTATTTAAAAACTGAATGAGGAAGTCAGGGCATTTAAAAAGTGACTAATGAAAGCAGTTTAGTTTAAAAACCATTCAAATTCATGCTCATTAATCAACATCACCAGCTAGAGAAGACGAGCCTGGGGGTTGTTTCTGGTGCCAAAGCCAAGTGTTTATTTTGGGTCAGTGATATGTACATGGTGCATCTATTTGACATATCTCCTGTTGCCACAAAACCACTTCCATTTATGGTTCAACTTTCAAAAGCAAATGCTGATAGAACTGATGACACAAATTATTTAGTACCTTACATGATACACTGTACATGGAGCAAAAAATGTCCACAGGAGCTCCATCAGCCAACTGGACCCTGATGTGCTCTGTGAACACACAACACACAACGAAGTCGACCATATGGTTGTATTACACTGTAGTGTGACAGGCCCTCAGTTCAGTTGTCTGCAAGGACTCGTAGCTATAGTGGTGTCCTGGTGACCCAAACAATCCTGCAGCTATTTAAAAATATCCTCACTGGATACCTTTAGCCACTGCTCCACACAGACAGAATTAGTCTTAGTACTGAGACGAATGGATTACATTTACGCAGCCTACACTAATAAGTTTGCTGTCACAAATTTTCTAACGATTTTCCATAGAAATGGTATATGAAACATATTATTCTCCCTTAGTGATTTCCTTCCTTTTGTATGTCTGTATCTTGTTGTGTCATCACATTACTGCCAACCACAACCACAAAAGTCTTCTGTATATGTAACTATGTCATAACACATACACAAGAGTCAACTAGTATATACAATTTATGGAGCATAATATTAATAATATGGTGACAATATCTGCCTATCTATTTTGTCTTAAGGTCATATTAAAAAAATAATATTACCAAAGCAATCAATGGTCTGGTCACTTGTAAGGCCACAGGCTGAACAGACTCAGTCAGTGAGAAAGGCCAGGAACTGTAAGGGAGGAAAAAGGTATGTAGTTGGTGAGTGTATGTTCATCGGATTTTTCTTACTAAACACAAACATAATTCTGAACATGAGAAATTTACTTTATTTAAAATATATAAGCTATTAGATCATAAAGAGAACAGAGGAACTTTTTCAGTTTCCAGTGCAGTCCAGTCAGCTGAAGAGACAGTACAGTCAGTTCAGACTTGCTCAAAGAAATGAATCAATTTCGCAGCTGTTTTCACTTCCTTACACTAATGTCCCCATAGATCTCTAGAGGGAAATTAGTAGGGAGAAACAACCGCCAGAGTATTTGTATCTCAAAGTGCCTTGAAAGAGGGGTGATAATTTGTGGCTGGCTTGATTAAATCACTGTTTCTTTTTAGAACGAACGTCATGAGTATGAGGCTAAAATGGTTTCCATGTGTAAATACTGATGGATTCCTCATGGTTACTGCTGTGCAACCAATTTAGAAGTTAAATGTGAATAATAATCCAAAACCAAAAGCAAGACAGCTGAATCAAACATGTGCCTACACTGAGTGCTTTCTAGTGCAACAGAAATATTTGCGCTAACCTGAAACTGAGAAGGCCAGCACGACCGTTTGTGGTGTCCTCTTCAGGAAACAGGAGTAAAGGTGGAGTACCTGCAGTCAAGCAGTATCTCTGAAGAGATTCTCCTACTGCTTCCAGGCCAGAAGCTGAATGGATTTCCATGAAGCCTCTGGCCCAGCACACAAAGCCTGTGGAGCCCTCCAGGTGGGGCTAATGAGCAGAAAGACACAGAGAAAGCTTACCCAACACTGCCTTCTCTGCACATGTAGCACTTGCAAAACAAACAAACAAAAAAAGGTAAAGCTGACAGCCGTACACAAAAACATTTTTGTAACTGAGGGATGCAAGATGGTCCATACACTGAACAAGTACAACTTTAACATGCTTTCACTGTCTTCTCTGCAAATGTGCATGTGTTCATCTGTGGCCACTGATGTTTTCATACAGAACACGACGTACCTTCATCCTCAACATTTACAGTGCTTCAAAAGAAACAGTGATATGTATGTGATCAAAAAGAATATGCAGTTATTAAAAGTGCATCAACTAAGATTTTACACACTGTCTCATTAATCAATTAAAAATGTGACAGGATGTGGGATCGCTCCGCTATTCTACCCCCACTCCATGACACTGCTTGTCACAGCCCTGCTGTAGTTATTTTAGCTTCTCAACCCTGTGCTGTCAAAGTACGGTCTAAAATTAGCCCCGCCTGCCTAGCGCAGGATATAAGAAGTGTTATTCAATGTGCGAGTAGCCATTTCAAACAGCCAGCCATGGAGGAGCTCCTGGCTGCTAAAAGTCAGAAACAGTGGCTGTCAGACTGCGTTATTTTGCACAGAGAAAGCAGGACAAAGAAAGAGTAAAAACAAGGGCAGGACATAATGGGATTCATCTGGGACAGCGCAGAGCATCACATATACATGCACAGTGTGTGCATGACATAGGAAATTTGTCCCGCCACTGACAATCACTGCATGCCCCCCAAACAAAAAGGCTAAATATGGCCCCTCCCCCAAAATGTTAAAACAAATAATAATAATGGTGTAATATTTCCAGCTTTGATTTAAAATTTTTGAAAAGTATGGGCCACATCCACAATTACAGGCATATTAGCTGGGGCATGCCGACAGGTGCTAACTGGCACATGAAGCATGTAGCGTTCCTGTGGTTGAGAAATACCTAAATGTTTAAAATGTTGGACGTGTTCTCTTATAATCACCCTAACAAAAACCTACTGTCCAACATGGTTAACTAAAGAAATGGTTAAAAGTCGAACACTCACAGTATTGCAGGATGTCAGCAGGTTGATTATGTTGTGGTCGAATTCTGTTACATGATTACATATGTAGAGCTTGGTGTTTTTGTCTCTGGACCGAGGGTTTTTCTGTCTCACATACATCCCCAGGACTGAGCACATAACCCGCACAATAAATCTAAAAGCAATCAAAGAAAAATGGATGTAAACAGGTTATAACAGTTCACTACTAGGAAGTCTCTATAGGTGATTGATACTTGCCTTCTAACAAAATTATCTGGAAGTGCACAGCTGACCAAGAATATGTGGACGCCAATGAAAATCCGTATTATTGTCAAACAAATGCCAACTGGAAAGTAGATCAGCAACAGCAGGAGAACAAATGCATCTTTGGGAAACCTGTGCAATCAAAGAAACTGTTGAAATTTTGTTGCTGAAGAGATCTTGACAAATCACATGAATCACAATAAGACTGCAGTGATTAACAAACTTTACTCAAGAAAAATTAAATAAGCAAATAAATAAATAGATCAAAATGTATGCCATATCTGGGGTGCCTTTATTTAAATTTACTGAGCCACCACATAAACCCACACCAAAGTTAACTGCCAACTACCACTCTTTACCTAAAAGGCGTGTAAGGGTTCACCAAATCCATGGTTCGGGTCATACCTCATCTGTGTGTGTGTGTGTGTGTGTGTGGTTCGGGTGTTACATCTCCTGTGTGTGTGTGTGTGTGTGTGTGTGTGTGTGTGTGTGTGTGTGTGTGTGTGTGTGTGTTTGAGGGGGGGTTAAGAAAAACTGGAATGTTTTATGGGTTTTATTAAATCAAAACACTTGCAAGTGTAGTAAACAAAGGTTTTGGCCATTTCTGTTTCAGTTTCAGAACTGTTAAACCTCTATTACATAACAATATCCATTATCATTGTAAAAACCAGTAAAACAGATTAAATGTGTCAGCCTAAGGAGGTAAGAACTACCACCTGCCACCTTCCCCCTCTCTGTTAAAAAACTACAGGACTGTTAGAAATGTATTCTCAGGTACACCTGTCCTGTACTCACTAGGAAACTAGTAAATTAGAGTTTAATACTTCATGATGAATTTGAACGTTTATCTCAAGTTTAAATAACAATTACTCACTGGTGAACTAAATGCAACACCCATCTACTTCGCTGCAATGTCAATATTAGAACAGTATTACTGACACTGAATCAGAAGCAGCTTTAATGGCCAAATGTGTCGAAGGTGGAACCTGACTCCAGTACATGAGTATGTACAAGGCTCTTACGTAAGTTAACAAGACTGAGAGAAGAACAAAAGACAAAGAATATGCACAGAACAAAAAGGAGTTAGTGTGAGTTTCAGTTTTGCATTTATCCACAGCCCACAGCTTCCACTTTCTACATGTTATTACACGTGTCACTGTGGGGCTGCCTTAGCTTTGAGGTGCTGGGCACCATCTGGAAAGCCCATTATTAGTCCTATCCGACACTACAACCAGCACCACTGTACCCACAGGCCCCGTATCCCAGCTCATGTAAAAGCCATTTATTCGTGGAGCAAATGACGGTGGCACAACTTTTACTTCTCGCCTTTGAGACTAATGGCAAAGGTATTCGCCCCTCATGTACAAAGATACAAAGGTCAACTCAGTACATTAAGTCCAGTTTTAAAATCGTCTTTTGCTAAACTTCATTCTCAGCTGCCGTTGTCTTTTTACAATGCCAAGCTCAACAACCAACTATGGATAGGCTAGCGAGCTCGACCATTTGGCGTTGACTTTACAGCTGATGACACTACAAAGTGTGCGTTAAAATCGGCATTACACGTTTGCATAATATGTTTTAGTGATAAAGCATTAACGTAACGTCACCTCCACACAGCTAGACTAGCTAGTTAGCTCGATGTTTTATAAAGGTTGGACCTCGCTTCGCGAGCAAACGTTACAGCTAATATTTATTGAAAACACAGAACCACACCTTAATGTTACTATAAGTACAGCTAATTAACATTAGCTAAAGATTAACCGAGCTGCTTACCGATGAAAGTCAAACATGTCTTCAATCCCCCGAGTCTCCATGTCTGCCAGTCAGTTCTTTGATCAGAGGCTAATGCTAACAACGCAACCTGAGCTCTAAAAATAAATTAGTCATAACGTTCACTACAGCAGTTTTGCAATAAGGTTCTTAAACTGACATATAACGTTACTGTTTCTGCGATGAAAACGTTTCGGGTAGCTATATAAACAAGTTTAAATTGTTGTTATCAGATGTTTCTGCCCGCAGTTCAAGCAACGTTAGCTCCCCTGCGCCGCCAACAGCAATAACAACATTTCCGGCTAAGATCCTATAGAATAAAAGTGCCATCTCCACAATAGTAAAGTAAGCTTATATGAAGTCGGATTAAACATACACAATTGTATGTCTGACTGTTCCTATTAACCCATATGTTATTACCATATAGTCTGTGGATGTGTAAAAAAAAAACTGAAGAAAAGAAAAACCAACTCAACAGATAGACTTTCCAAATAAAAGTCCCTGTACAGAACAAGCGGTGAAAAGTGAAGGAATTATCGCCATCTAGTGGTTGAATTACATACTCGCGCATCATTTCACATTTCATGGTATAACCTACTTTTTAGGAGGAAAATTTTTATCAACTATGAAACAGCATGTCTATTTGTCTGTTAGACAACAAGATACTGAAAACCGTGCCTCAGACTGTGGTCCAAAATATTGTTTTTAACGGTCCATAGGTTAGGAGAGCTTTGTGGAACTAGTACTTTCAAGACAAAAAAGGGGAGTGCTCTTTGGTAAAGGGTGTGGAATTTCAGTACCATAACCATAACCATAAGCATAAGCATAAAAAACCTTTATTGCCAAGTATTTAAAAAATTTTAATAATTTGAAAATGCAACCAAGGCACACATATTTTAAAAGTTAAAATGCCTTTATTGTACTGGCAAATATTATAAATGGAACATGATTAAAATTGCATCTTGTCTTCTTCACAGAAGAAAAGCATGGTAAATAACGGAGAGCCAGGGAGTTTTGGGGCCTGCACTCTTAACCCAAATTAGCTGACATTACTAGAAAACTGTGGGAAAACCAGTTGCCTAAAACTGTTTTTACATGAGGTTAAACTAAACATGTGAAGTTGTATTAACACAGAACTAGTGATGTGTCAGTCGCGAACGAGTAGGCTCTATGAGCCGGGTCTTTTAGGTGAATGATGAGAGCCCAGAGCTGATTGATTGATTATTTTATTTTATTTGTTAATACACCACAGAATGGTAGGGAATCTTTTTGCCATACTGTTCGGCCACAGGTACTTTATATACTGACTGTATGTTGTGTTCATTGATGTATTAGATTAGATTCAACTTTATTATCATTACCCATGTACAAGTACAAGGCAACGAAATACAGGTAACAGGTTACAGGTAACAGAAGTGTATTGCATTAGTCCTGGGAGGAGAGAAGGAGTGAGGTGTGTGTAGTGGTATAGAGGAAGGCAGTGGGGGGTCAACAGTGGACAGAGTTCAGTAAAGAGACAGCTGTAGGGAAGAAGCTATTGATGTATGTGCCTGCAAGCAATCAGAGTCAGAATCAGCTTCATTGGCCAGGTGTGTTGGACACACGAGGAATTTGACTCTGGTACAGCAGCTCTCAATGTGTATGTACATGTCCTTATGTAAGGTAGCACTCCACAAGTAAACAATATAAGGATGAGAGAACAGAAAGGAAAGAAGTAATGTGCAAACAAAGCAAAAGGAATGTGTATTAGTTAAAAAGATAAAAAAAAAAGTACTTATAATACATATATATATTGTGTATATATACACACAGTCTAGGGTTATTTACCCTAGTCATACTGTCGTGGGCTAAGTGTATCAGCGTTCAGAGGGGAGGAGTTCAAACTGATTGTGTCCAGGGTGTGAGGGGTCTGCCATCAGGTGTGATGACAGACAAGGATCATACCATCAGGTTAAAATGGGGAGGGGTGGGCTGACAGTCTACAGAACAGACTACAGGAGTGCGCAAACAGCCCAAGATGAATGACACTTGGGGCCCTATTTTGAGGAACCATGGCATCTCATGAAGATGTATTGGCACAAGTGGTGTTTGGACGTGTCCATGTTCATTTCGGCAATTTGTAGTGCAGTACCCCCACATTACCAACTAACCCAAAATTTACCCGGTCACACTCCATTTTCATCTGGACACACCTGCTGGCGCAAAGTCAGCAGACCACTGCTTGGTAGTGTTAGAGATTAACCCAATTCTTTTGTTGAAAGCACGAGAAGTGAAGACAGGAGAGGACTGTTTAAAATCAACAGAAAGTTTACTGAAAGTCTGAGCACAGGTAGGCCTTACAGCGCTGGGATCAGAGAGATAGAACTCCCGCAGGAGTTCCATTCTCTGAGCCCCAAATTAAGTTCTTACGATACATTTTATCTGGCCGGGCCAGGCCCGCCCTGGACAGGGGTGCAACCTTCAATACCTTCAATAGTTTGTGATCCTATTGGTCATTTGGTGTGAGCCGGAGCTCGCACTTCCATATTGAAATATGGTTAATCTAGGTATGTGTGTGTATGTGTGTGTGTGTGTGTGTCTCCGCCACCCTGATCTTGATCTCGAGGTGCACTCATCAATGGGTGGCCTGAGTTGCAGGCCCCCTGTGTGTGTGATGCTAATAAGCAACTGTTAAATATGGGACAACTCACACTGAACTATCTTTCTCCAATTTTTGCAAACGAAGAATGCTGTATGAACATTCTGATTGGAGGCGCAGCTGCCATACGGGACCTAGAAGAAACGTCAGCGTGGCAAGCATGACGGCGCCTTGGTGAGGCTACGCCAGAGAGGGACACGGACTCTGCTCCTGTCTATCCACCTAGTGAATGTTCACCCCTAGCCAACAAGATGGATGGAATTCTTCTCGTCAACAGGACTAACTCTGACTTTGCACGCTCTGCTGCTTTATGCTTCACTGAGACCTGGCTCAGGGACTCCATTGCGGACAACGTAATACAAGTACCGGGCTTCCAGGTGTACAGAGCGGATCGCGTAACGGAACTGTCCGGGAAGATGAGAGGAGGGGGAATCTGTCTCTACATAAAATGAATGTTGGTGCACAGATGTCATGGTGCTACAGAGGACATGTGACACGGATTTAGAGACTCTCTTTATCAATTGCAAACTTTTATTCTCCCTGAGAATTTAACTCTTTCATTGTAATCGGAGTGTATATAAGACTGCAGGTCCATGCTAGCGTACTACAGCTCCTGGCAGAACTAATAACTAGCGTGGAGCTAGAACATCCCAACTCTCCACTCATTGTTCTAGGGGACTTTAACAGCAAATCTCACCCACGAACTGCCCAAATACAGACAGTACATTACCTGTCCCACCAGAGACAAAGTCACACTGGACCACTGCTACACAACAATAAAAGACACCTATCACTCTGTCCCCCGCGCAGCCCTCGGACTCTCTGATCACTGTATTGTGGCGACCCTGACCGGCCGCTGATGTTCATGTGTTCTGTTGTGTGCGAATGGGTTTGACAATGTTATTGAAGGCTGTTCATGTATTGGTTACTGCTGTTTTCTACAAAATGCTGCGCTGTTCTGGCCAATGTGGGATGGGGGGGAGGAACAGGTGCGGGAGGAGATAAGAGGGATGACAGGTGGGCGTGTTGTTTAGATTCTGTTGGCGCGGAACTCGGGTTGCCCTGAGAGAGTGTCGTTACTGTTTGTCCTGCTTTACTTTTTTTTTGTTTTCCTGAGGAACACACGGTGCCAGGTAAACCGCAGTTCTGTTGTTGCATTCTCTGTTCTGTCTAATAAAATCCAAAAAGACAAAGAAGGTGTTCTCCTCACTGTCAGCATAGGTGCTAGCGCATAGCTGGCTAGTTAGTTGTCCCAGTATAGGACAGGGTCGGGCCAGCTCCTCTCAACCGAGCTAGCGGTCGTCACAT